AAATAACACGTTTCAGAAAATACACCTGCTAACAAATAGTTTCATAAAGTTACCACATACAGTTAAATTAAAACCGGACGTTAACCGATGTTGACTTCAAAATAAAAGCGTACTCGACGAGACAAGACCTGCTGAGCCATTGGTATTAATGACGAAACACGTGCTACAAGAACAGAGAATCTGTTGTATCTCATTAGTTATTCTTACACATATTAATTATTCTTATCGTGGTGGCTACAACTAATCAAACCGTTCGCCAACATCACATGTATACATTTTATTTTTCATTATTTCATCATTTTATTTAAGTCATTACCGGAAATGGTTTCATTATTTCCGATATCTTGACATTGTTCTAGCATGAAGGTGCTATTGACAGCTGTCACCTTCTGTTTCTCACTGTCCTGGTTCAGATGTAGTTTTACGACATAACAGGGAAGAGGGGGGCCAAGCATATATAATGATTAAACTAGTTAATAAATAAAAGATGTAATAAAAGACACAAGTGTCTTGAACACTCCCTGTATTGGCCGGCCACGTCTCGTGTGTACCAGGAAGAGACGCAAACATCTCGCCTTTATGGGGACAAAGCCATACAATTAAACAGTTTAGATAAATATAGTTTGCACTTGACGAATGTTTATGGTGTAGCTGTTGGTAAGCTTGATATTAAAGGAGGATACAGCCTTCAACAACTTTGTTTTCTGTCCGGTGTTCGGCCTGTTCTCACATCGCTACTAGTTTCGCAGCATCGGCTCAGTGTTGCAAACACCCAACCCTCCTGCACCATTTCCGTGTTTGATACGGAATCATTTCCACTTAGCCCGTGCCACGTCAATTAAATATGCAGGTTTAGCTGAATTTTAACGTAAAACAATAAGACAACAGCAGCAGCCAGCATTCAATGAATGGAAAATACACTGTGTTGCCCAACACTGCGACATTGTTGCAGGATAACCGCTTAATAAGTGAAAGGGTGCGTGACGTGTCTAAAATGTGATGCTAAAACAACATAACTTACCTAGTGCCACCTCGCAGGCTTTGCGCAGTTGTGAATGGTGAGCCTTTTTCACCTCTTTGTCGGCCAGGATCTTTTCCAAAGCTCGTGTTAGGAACATGTTTTTCGTCTTTTTGCCCTCAAACATGTCGCACCGGAATTTGGGGCGAGGTGTGCCTGGTCCCAAGGGGGGGTGCAGCCGCCTCGAATGGAAATGTATTCCCTTACAAATGTCAGCCGCAGAGCCCCTAACAGACAAACATAAATAAACACAGAAGGTGGGGTAAATCCCTCAGATTTCCATTAACGACCTGCCTCCTGCGCCATGTTGGAGAGAGGAAACGACGTCACGTACGTTTGAGAACGGCCGCAGTGAGGCAGCAGGGAGAGAGAAAGAGGAAAGAGGTGTCATGAGTGTCGGCTCCCAGCTAAGCTTTCTCCACATATTCATGTTGAAGCCCATACAGGCTTACTAAACTCATATGTAAAATACTTGATATTAATATATGCATGTAATGAATTAAACAGCATATCAGCGTCTGTGTGCGCAGAGGTTTTCCCATATTCACTCACATCACTTAAATATAAACAACATATTCACATTTATACTTAAAGTGCAGGATTTAAGACTATATATAGAATCTTGTATTATGTAGAGGGCTGTGTCTGAATGTGATTTTAAAAGCCTATATATATTATAGAAATGAACAGTCTCACACACTGTATCACATACCACATCAGAACACTGTACCCACCAAGACAATAAAGTTGTTTTGTTTTTTTTTACCAAAAATCCCTGGGTTACTCCAGATCTAAAGGCCCTGCAGAGGGAGCAGAATGAGCTGAGGAGAACAGTCAGGGAGGATCAGGAGGAAGATGGCACTGCTCGACATATGTGCAACACTTCATGAAAAACAATGTGTAATGTTACACCTCAAGCAAACACTAATAATGTAAATATTGTTTTCTAATGTAAATATTCTTTCTTGATGTATTTTTCTTTCTTTCTAACTATGCTTAATACCTGCCCTCAACTATATCCTGCTGCAGCTGTAACGATACAAATTCCCCACCTGATATAATAAAGTTACTTGTCTTGTCTTGTCTTAAAACCTAAAGTTGTGCTACGATTCAATTTACATATTTAACATTAAATTTGAATGCATTGTTAAGCTTAATGGACCGCATAAAAATGTTTTACTTAATGCACACAATAAGTTTCGTAAAAGAAAATTTAAACGACATAAAACATACAGTTCAAATGTACAATTACAAATGTGTTACTATGTTTTAAAAGATTTTTGTTAAATGCACTAAAAATACTGGTTGGAAAATTAATATAGTGTTAAGTTTACTATAAGACTTCAATAAATATTAGTTAATTGTACATAAAATGATTAGTTTAGTCACATCATTGTTTGTGTGGAAAAATAATTGATACAGTAACAACAAGGGGTGGCAGTGTCAATATGCCAAGCACCAATTCAACACTCATTCAACAGGGATTACTTTGTTTTGTATTTTGTTATCTCACCGTTCCACAGATAGTGGCAAAGGAAATATAGTCTCCTGACAAAAATTGTAGAAAATCTTGGGAGTTTCAAACAGTAAACATAATCTGCAGCCTTGGATCAATGTAAATGTTAATGTTGTTTCTGATACTGCATGGGATAGGTTTTGCATAATCCGGTATATTGGTTGCAGCATCACTGAATGGAAGTGTTTCCTGGATATGTTCATGAGTACTGATTCAGGTGAGATCAAGATGTTTTATGTATAATGTCAGTAGGATACGAAGTAACTAACAAATACAGACAATCTCCCCCTGATTCTTCAAGATTAATCACAGTAATATGTCCCGATAGAAGGCTCAGCTTGGCAATATCTAGTTCACTGTGAGGTAAACAAGGCAAAACAGCCCTAAGGTCGACCTTCTTACCCTTATATGGGTTTGCAGAGAATTCTGGGAAGTCTAGCACCTTCCTGATGGAACTTGATTAGTGAGAAGCAGTAATCCCACCTCAATTTCTTCAACAATTGTAGATTGTAGTTCTTTATGCTGCCCATTGATAAACACATGTTTTTCCTCTTCAGAATAATAATACCTTTAAAAAAAAACTTTAACATAATCAGAAAACATTTTAATAGAGAATCAGCTGTTTCCTAGTGGTAGTTAATATGTTGCATGTATTACTTTGGAAGGACATGATTAGTCCTCCATATGGCCTCTTATTATTATTTGTCTTCAAAGTTTCCACTTTTCACAATACTATAATCACAAATGCGTGAAACGTTTTGTGAAACATGAATATGTAGTATTCAGATTTTGCCCCTCACATTTGTGTTTGTCATTATGTTGCAAATATCATACCTGTGTGTTTAGTTCTTCCGTGACTGTTTAATGCTTCACTTCACCTATAACTGTGTATCTACGCGTTTAATGTTGCTACAGTGCCTTTTACAGCCTCGAATAACATTTAGCAAAATCCAACAGCAAATACATCCTGGAAATCTGGCAATTTGACAACACAGATTTGGCAGTTGTGGGCGGGAGAGTTCACTTTCACTTTGGACTGTCTTGCGTGTCAGTTCCACCATTTCTGAATCCATAAATAAGAGCTGCAGAATCAGAGACTGGAGATGAAGAGTGGAGAAGAAAAATATAGTAGAGAGCGCTGGATTAAAAGTGTTTAAAGCTATAATTTCTTAATTAAAGAGGTCAGCAAGTTAATCATAATAAATGTCCCTTAGATAATAATTTTTATTATCAGACATGCCCATGAATATGTGTACAAAACATTTATAGAACACAATTAAGGGCTGCAAATGTGACATCTCACTTCTCTCATTGTTGATAAATGGAAGCGGGGGCGTTATATAAATAGTGCATTTCTAATGATAAAGTCAAAAACAGAGCAAAATAAATGTATGTAAAGATGTAATAAATGTGACAAGATAAATATGTACTGTGTTATATAACAACATTTATTCAAGTCTGATATTATACATTTATTAAAGTCTCACATTAAGCACATAAGCTGTGAAAGGTAAACATTTCTGACCCTGTCACTGATCCATACCTGAGTAATGACACAGTAAGCTGCTGAACTGACAGGCTAGACTTTCCAAATTTAGTCTGAACCAAATGAAAAGGAAAAAAAACAAAAAAAAAACATGTCTAACGAAAAAAAAAAAAGAGAAAAAGAAATATCCATTTAAACCAAACCCTAGATTGTCAGGTGATAGCACATTATGTACACCAACAATATTGCAGTAATAAAGGCATTAATACGTGAACAGCATAGATTGAGTCTAAACTGGCACATGGTAGGACTAATCCAAAATAAAGTAATAAAACAGCAACCAGAATAATGAGTAATCAATGATGCTCTTATATTCATTAAAAAACTAAAACTTGTTAGACGTTTATTTTAATATAACACATCTTTGGATGACATTAAAATATTAAATGTGTTTAAAAAGTGCTGCTGTATCATGACAAGTGCTTACATGACTGCCATTCACTGGGAAAAAAAAGCTTATTTGATAGTAAAATCTGCATCAATCCTGTTTGTTTCTTTGTTAGTGGAGAGCTACAGTAAATCTTGGGGGACAAAGAGAGGATTACATGCTGGAGAGAGTCCTGGGCCAGATTCATGTTCACAACTTAGATGGCACAAATTGTAGCTCACTGATCCAACAGGATGCTCTCTGACACTGTGTGTGTGTGTGTGTGTGAGAGCTTACTGTATGTAAACAAGCTGGTTACTTGAAGGATTTTTGGTTTTTGGCACAAAAAACCCACCACCATCAGTTCATATCATATCAGAAAGACAAGAAAATAAAGTGAAGAGCCTCAAAAACAAGAAAAACAAATTATGCTTTGGTTGTCCGTTGCAGCTCTCCACCTGATAACATCTGGGATTAATATGAAATCTCAGAGGAATATGAGGTGTTCAGATAAGTAGCCGTGAGGGTGGGGCTCTAGGGACCTACAGTATGGTCATATATATGGAAATCTGTCCCTGTCTGTCTCGCACTTCTTCAGCAGACCTGATGCAATGGCTTTCACAGCCCTCATAGTCTCAGTGCAAGTCGGGCTGATCAGGGATTCGGGCAGGAGGAAGCCGAAGTATCCTGTGTCCCTTAACTCAAACGCAAACGCGTACGGGATCCCGTTCCTGTACGCCCAATCGATAGAGCTGCCTGAGCTGACATCTGTGAGAGAGCAAGAAAAAAAGATTACAACAGTAATAATAGTAGCTCTGTTTGGTTTGCTAATCTTGAGAGATACAATAAACTCACAGAGAGTTGTGGAGGCAGGTCCGTATCTGTACCTCACTCCATAGGCAGAGTACAGGGCTGTCACTGCACTGTGAGCCGCCGACTCCTGGAAAGTGAAAGCAAAAGGTCAGCTCGTTTCTTCACAGTAGGATTTAATATCAGGTTGATTTGGTTAAAAAACGAAGGAGCTCTCGCAGATAGATAATAATGGGTTTATTATTGGTTTGTTACTAAGAAACAAATGTCTTACCACACAGCTGAAGTTGGGGATAGTGGCATACTTGTAGGAATAAGGGTAAAGCAGCATTTGGGCGTAGGCGTGGATGGATATGTATGCTCTGACATGCTTCTTGTGCTTACGCAGGAACTTGGCGACGGCCTTGACTTCGGGTTCCGATTCAGGAAAGGGACCACAGTAGGTGTCGTCACAGGGATGAGAGGAGGCACCCTCATCTGGGAGTGGGTAAAGGCGAGCAGAGGCTACAGTCTTATGATTAAAACCCTCAAAGGATGCATTAAGAAACAGATCTGGATGTTCAAATCTAATTTTTGCTCAAATTTCTATCATATCTTTAAAAAATGAAAGAGCTTGGGCACCGTGATGTGGATTCAATATATTCTGGACCCAGTCCAGCTACGGTGACTATGCAGGCAGTGAGAAGACATAGAGAGCAATATTGTGGGGGAAAAACTAATGCAGACACAGATTGAAATCACCAGTCACATCATAATGCCAAGGATAACAGAAGCCAAAGACAATACAGCTCCAAAATGTTTTACAGAGAACCACTGACCCCACTGCCAAGACCTACCAAACAGGAATAAATGTTTCTGGATGCTGTGATGTTTGAGGTTCTGACAAGCACGCTGCCCCCGTCTCTTCCTCTAACATACTACATTAGCACTGTTTGTGCTTCGAACAGTGAACATCAGTGCATGTGCCCTTGTCCGATGTAAACGAGTGACGCAAAAAGTAAACATAAACCTGTGAACGAGACCGTGACTCGTTCTGAAAGGATTCACTCAGAGAAGAAAAGAGCACACTGAAACAGATCCTCACATGTAATGAGTGTCATATGAATCGTGCCGCCCGAGAACCACACTGTTTTTACAATCTTAAACACAACTAGAAAAGCTCTGATTTAGATACGCAGATAGCCAGATTTTATGAGCTAATGTTCCTTTGGGGACGTAACACATGGTACTTCAATCACTCTGTTTTGCAACTCACGTTATATCTCTGTATGTCTGTCTGTACCACATAAATCTTTGCTGTGTTCTCAGAGTCCTCCCGGAGTGATGATGATTCAGCAGAACCCCCCACCCCCCACCCCCCCACCACCAACCACCCAACAGACACTAAATGACATCAAACATAGACTTTTGTCACCACACAAATATTTTATCCACAGCTTACACCCATTAATAGACAGGAAAGACTACATCAGCAACAGACTACAAGCAGCCTTGCCAAGCTGCAGGGTTCGTGTGTGTGTGTGTGTGTGTGTGTGTGCAAACTCACCACACCATTTCACTTTCCAGTTTCTGTTAGCGTCCACACCTCGGCAGTGAAACTTGTGATTTTTGGACCGTGTTTTCCTCCAGAACCGATCCTACAGGGAAAATAAAAAAGACACTGTCACTGTATGTCCACTTACTGTCACACACATCCAACAAATACAGTTCTCTGCCAGCTCCGAAATAATCCATCTGTCACTCACTGAGCCTCAGTGGGTCTGTTACTAACAGACAGATATGGAGACAGTGAGAGGCAGTTTTCACAGGCATTACTTTCACTGAAGTATACATAGATACTCATACAGAGATAAGCGCTGCATAATGACAAAGAATACATTATCTCTCTGCTATTGGGTTTTTTCAATTACAGTATGCATTCATATCTTGTAGGAGCAATGAGTTACCAGTTTTTATCTGAATACTGAACCTGAATGAAATAAAGGGATTTCTCCACTGAGCCCTGCATTCTGCAAAGTATCAGAATAATATAGTAAAATGCCTAAAAAAAAACAAAAAAAAAACAAACTAGCTCAAAAAAAATTCTGATAAATGCTGTTTGAAAATGAAAGTGATCAACGGTGAGGTATTGCATAAGTAGAAAGTCCCTAATGTACCGTGGTCCAGCTGAAGTGATATCCATCCACATTGAAGACAGGCATGATGTAGAAGTTGAGCTGGTTGAGCAGTCGTCTCATCACTGAGTCATACTGGTATGAGCTGATGGCCTGTAATTATAATATAAATCAGTATGATTACACAGTTTACTAGACCACACAGATCTAGACTGAGGTCTAACAATACAATTATATGTCATTAGTATGCACACATTGTTTTTTAAGATTTTATAAGCTTATGCATGTTCATTATCTCAGTTCAATGAATGCACCGCTCTAGTGGCTTAATACTAGTAGGAATGAGGGCTGGAGAGAGGAGATCTAGGCACTGATCTAATGCAGCTTAATACCTGCTCATTAATCAGACTCAGGCCAAGGTTAATGTGAACAAAGATAGCACTCTGACCTCCGGTGGCCAACCCGAGCTACTACATCACAGTGAACTCGCATTTAGGGGCATGTGTTTGGGTTAGGGCATCTTTGACTGTTCCCAAATCAAATGTTTTCCCTTGTTTTTCCCCCCCTTATTTACTTTTATGTAAATCTGTTTCTGATTTCCTGCTGCTTTTCCCTCCTTCCTTCACTCAGGTCCTACTCTCTCCTTTTATCCTTGTTTGAAGAATTGCCTTCTGAACATGTAAGTCCATATAATGACCAAAGGTTAATTAGTAATGTACTTTGATTTTTGTCTCTCTATGATAAGATAGAAGTAATCCATCATTCAGGGAAGTGTATGCAAACAGAATGATTCTAGAGCACAACAAATCATTACCTTATTACCTTTTTTTGTTTATTTTTTTAGTATAGTTGAGGTTCATAATGCAAGAATTCCTCAAAACAGGCCACGACTCAGTGCTTTAAATTGATATTCATATAGTTTCCTTTAATTACCAGAATTTCCTGGCAGTCACTGTGTTACAAATCCCACTCATCTGGCATTTAAGTACAAAACGAGCAATTAAAAGGTTCTTGCAGTTAATGTTTGACTCTGGTCGTGTACCGTCCACACTTCAGAGGGTACTAACTAAGACTTTAAGGCTGTGATGGAATTCGTGTAAATGTTTTGGTCCATGTTCAACATCTGAACGATAAAGGGTATTCTTAAGTATTTGCATAACTACGCATGACAAGCGAACAGATGTTCATGTTTTCTCGAAGACCGAAGAGACCAAACATCACAGACTGCTCGCTGCAGGCCATCATTCAGGCTTACGTTCAGGAAGGTAGGGCGTTGCTGTAGAGACACTGTAGAAACATGCGATGGTGCAAACCGATACCGTAACTTCAAACAATGATTTCATTTTCAAATTTGTAGGCTAGGAAAAACAAGACTACCTCTTTGACAAACCACTGGCAGAAGGCAGGTCCGATCCACTCTCGAGCATGAACTCCGCAGTCGATCCACACGGCTTTCTTCTGGGGACGACTTCTCTTTCCTAGCTGACAGGAGACAAGAGCTGTCAGATTTACAGCAGCATGTGTATGAAGCTGTGTTTTGTTTTTTTTAAGTGTGTGTCTCATGCCTTCGCTCCTACCTGAAGCACATACAGCGGTCTTCCCTCGTATGATTTCCCAATGGAGAACATTTCAACCAGGTCTGGGTTGGTTCTGTTCATCTCAAACATCCAGCTCTGGATCTTCAGGGCAGAAAATAATTTAGAATGTGAATCCAGGAATTGTTAATAAGTTTTTTTTCAGGAATAAATATAATATTTCAAAGCTGGATAGAGTTAAAAACTTTCTAAGATGCTACTGTTTTTATGAGTGTGATGTGTGATGTTTGTGTATATGCTCCGGTGCGTCAATTCGTGTGAGGTTCTGTCTTTGCCTTCAGGATGCGTCTGCACAGTCACACATTAGTGCAGACATTGTGTATGTGTGTAAGTGTGTGTGTTTTACAGTGGAGGAGAGGATCAAAGCTCAGAGCACTAAAGATTTAATGTAGGCTCTCGGGATGTGTGTGTGGAATTCCTGCTGCTTCGTAGGGCCTGACAGATTCATGAACCGGGAGCATGATCGACCTGGGAAAATAAACACTCTGAAGCCGTGAAGTGTCTGACGTAGAGTGAGTGTCTGTGTGTGAGAGCACGAGGTTGTGGGAGAGCGACCTGTGGAATGGGGTAATTGGGAGTTTGAGAGCACCTTAGGGAGGTCGTTTTGTTTGCTCTGTGCGTGCATTAGATTGGAGAGCAGAGGAGAGAGAGGGATAGGTAAGGTAAGATGGTGGGTTTTGTTTTGCATCTACCTCTTCCAGAGAGTGGTAAACCTCGTAGTCATACTGAGACTCTGACCTCCGCTTGCGAGAGGAGCGATATCCTGTCTGCTTTTCAATTTCCTTCTGCAGATTGGAGATAAACACCCTGTGGATGGGGAGAGTCGGGACACTTACGTGGATTACTTACTTTAAAAAAAAAAAAAAAAAAATTTCTTCTTTTGTACATATGTTCGCACCTGTTCTTAATACAGAGATTCTTGTGACAAATGTCATAACTATTGGTCAATAAATCTTTTAAAAAGGCTTTATAGATCAGTTATTAAAAGCATTTGGGTTGCCAGATCATGAAAAATAGTGTGGGTCAGGTTATATATCCTCCTCCAGCATAGCATAGTCTGTCTTTTAGCTTTGTAATTTATCTCAATGGATTATTACAAAGCAATACATCATGATTATATACAATACACCAATATTCATGACTTACTGAAGCTTATATGGAAGTGAGTAAGCAAATACTACAGAGTCTGACTTCATAAGAAGTCATCCTGCACTTATTTTACAAATGTTAGTGCAGGGCTGTAGGCTTACATTGTTCCACTGCAATAATCCAGCAAATATGTATTTTATTTATTTATTCATGACTGTCCAATTAGTTAACAAAATGTAAAAAAAAAAAAGTAATACCAAAGCAAAACACCCTGCGTTAGGTGTTAAAGAGGAAGACAATGTTAAGATAGGGGAGGATAAAAATGCCAAAAGCTTTCGGTGAAACGTGACAGATCACAAAGGGGGTTTATAAGATGTTTCACAACCTGAAAGCCTGAATGTTGTGACTGTTCTAATGGATTACTTATTGCTCATCTACAAAGTATTGATGAATGATTTAATTGCCCTTAATAAAGCCTGTAGTTGCAACTTACAAACACTTTGATGGTTTTTCTATGTTGTGTGTTTGTAAGCAAAATGTTCTTGCTGTCACAGTTTGACATTTGCCAACACAAGTGACATGCAAGAATATAAAATCAAAATAATACAGATATTCAAATTTAATATTTTGTAACAGTGGGTCCCTAATGTCAATATATTCTAACTGAATGTAATATATCTACTGAGTGTTGAGTATGAAGTGGTGGCGCAGGGGGTCCTGGATCTACTGTTGACACATATCTAATGTCAATTACACAGCTGTTCTCACTCATCCTCTTCTATTCCAGTGTTAAACCAGATTTCCACATCAGCACTCACTCTGTCTGATAGGACAAGCGATACCATTTATGCCGCTGCTGCCTACCAGCAAATAAAATGTGTTGAAAATGAGCCGAAACCATAATTATCACCATCATTATCTGTCTAAAGACTTGTTTCCTGTCTGATCAGACCCTATGCCTCTTCACATCCCACGCCAACGTAAAACAGATGATGTGATCTTTTTTCACAGCAGCTATGTGGGCAGCCATATTCCCCTAAAATATACTTCTTCATAAGCTACATGTACGTTTTTATCCATAACTACTTGAATAACGTTTTAAAAAGTCAGATTAAAAAAATGAGATGTTAGAGCTCTCGAAAATTCACCCTCAAAACCTCAACCACCTTCCAAAGACTGTGTCCCCTGCAGTGTAAACCATTTTTTGAAAAATCCTAAGTCAATCAACAGAGAGTAGAAAAAAAAAAAAAAAAACTCATCCTCAGATCTGCAATTCCTCCCTCAGGACAGAGATGACAATGGAAGTCTAGCTTCAGCCGCGGCTGCTTTGATAAAACTCCATCATTTCAACGTTAATTTTGATGAAGGATGGGGTAGAGAGATGAAAGGGTTGCTCTTTGGAGCAGACTGGGAGACAGGCTCTGATGTGCTGTGTGTATGTGTGTGTTTATGTGTGTCCCAGCTTTGAGGAAGTGTGAGGTCTTTTGCATGCTAACTGCGGCCGACTCTGCATGTGCAAATCATATATTCTGGATAGGGGAAAGCTGGGTAATTGCAATGCCCAGCAGATGTATCGCTGGGTGTAAAGGCTTTGCTTTGCTAACAAAATCACCCAATATGTGAGGGTACACTAACGAACATGCATGTGCACTGCAGTATGTCTCTGCACCTATGGCTCCTGGTCTTTCCGGTCTTACCGATAATCAATATCTTCCTGCTTTAAGCGTGCACGTAGGTCTCGCGTGTTGTTGCGTTTCACGTGGACATCCACGGTGGCGTTGTGACAGATGAGAGAAACACTGTTGGGCTGCCAAAAGTCCACCTACAGGGACACAACAAAGATATCAAACCATAAGTTACAGTGAGGTATGAGTGGGAGATGTGGATGTGAATCCTCTGTCATGATATATGTAATGTGTATGTATTTTTACATCATAATATATCAATATATTTTACTTCAAAATGTAAGAAAAAACCTGGTGACGTGATCCATCTCCAACAACATTAAAAAAAAGTTAAAAAGAAAAAATTTAAAACACATACTATACTGTATATTATGATATAGTTAAACATCCCAGAAAATCAATTGAGAAACTGCAAAAGAACCAGAAATTAATGTCTATTTTTGGCTGATCCAGTAAATGAAATGAATGTATTTAATAGACAGAAAACACTGAAACTCAAAAATCATCAAAAAACACAGTGGAGTCTGCAACTTACAGAAAATTGTCTCCTCACTGATATTTGTACTTTAGATGTGTGTCATTTGATAATGCTAAACTAAACAAAACTAAAGCCCAAAAGAAAGACCTTATTATCTCATCTGCTGGGTGTTTAAAACAGCACCAGACATTTGTTGATGATGACCAAATTGTTTTAGTCAGACCTTGACAGTTTAACCTTCCTCTGGTCTCTACCCTCAAGTGATGAAGTAAATCAGGGGAATCCTGATGACTCCACAGCGTTAATGGGACAAAACACACTCTGCCGTGTCCCATTAACCAGCAGCGAACGGCCGCTTCACTCTCCGCTGTTTGACCTCATATTAGCAACAAAAATCCTGTCTTTCAGCACTTGTTATCAGGCCGTGATAGTCCGGTCTGTTAGCTTTAGCTGAAATGGACAGCCCATTGGCCGATCGTGCTGGCCAACCAAATAAACACAGACACCATGTGGCAACTGTGATAAAACAACAGAGGAAGAGAAACTAAGAGAAAGACAAAAAGAGTATTTTTGAGTAAACTGGAAAAGCACTGATCTACAAACGACACACAGAGAGAAGAGATAGAGGATACTGTACATTCAGGACGTTCACACACGTCTGTGTTTGCAGAGATGTGTGTGAACGTCCTCAGCTGGCCTTCATTTCCAGCATGGGGGCAGAGACACGCAGGCTGGCACACATGCTTGTTAATGTGTCAATTGGTTTAATGGTTTACAGAATGCATACCAGATTTCATTTAACGTTCTATAGAGCTCCAAGGAGTGGAGAGCCCTCAGCTGGAATGTTTGGTGCCCTTGAGTATAAACCGTTCTCTATCGCTGCACTTTTATGGCATTTCCAAATGGTTAAGTACCCCAAAGGCTTCAGCAATGCTCCACTGTTAGCCAAACAAATCCAAAACACATATGCCTTAAAAGCACTAAAACATCTCTGATTAGATAATACGACTCCTCAAAAACAATACCCTCAATTTAAAATTTTATAGCTGTATTTATATATATACATTCTTTGTCTGCTTTATAAATCTTTAATCTCTTGACAATGTGATTTTTCTTTTTCTTTTTTTTTTTTGTGTGTGTGAGTGTGTCAGTGTATGCAGGGTAGCTATTGAATTTGTGTTGTTTTGGTTTTGGTTTTGTAATACAGGCGTGGGCAGCACAAGAAAGGAAAAGTTATAGTTCTATAAAATGAGCTGGCTTATTCCTCGAGGCAGATGTGGTGAAGCTGTAGCTGAGTGTTTATATGTCGAGTAAAAAGAAATCAAGTAGGGCAAAGTAAACAGTTATTGAATGTGTATCGTAGATCTAACCGCTGTATGTTTTCTGAATCACGCCAGCTGTTTTACACGTTTCACAGCCTGATTTTGTTTGTTCTAATATAAAAAAAAAAAACCTTTAAAAAGAAGCACTTCCAACATTTTGGGAAATTTCCTAATTCACTCTCTTAGTGAATAGTTACAGAAGAATATGAAATATGACGCTACAGCTAGCGGCCAGTTGGCTTAACTTACCAAAATACTGGAAACAATAGGAAGCAGCTAGTGTGGCTTAGTCCAAAACTAACAAAGCTACTCCTTTAACAATGCTGTAAAGGACTTTGTGGAAACATGGGTCATGGGTCAAGTGCGAAGAGTACAGAGTAAATTCACCCACTACAAATTCAATGTTTATTCTTAAAATCCTGTATAGCTCAGTCTAAATATAAATGTTAAGTTAAGGCTGTCTCCTCCTGCTCAGAGGAGACAGCCTGCGACGGTGATGTCATCTATAGACAAATGCTGAAACCTCTCCATAATACAGTAATAATGGAATAATTCATATGCAGCAATGACAGCAGCCATGGTGCTTTCGCTAAGATATTAGCACATCTGTTTCCCAGATTTAATCCTTGGAGCATTTAACACAATACTTCAACAGTATGAGCTAAGAGACAGAGACAGTCACTGATTCTGTGTCACTGCTCCCATCAAACAACGTGGGACCATTAGAAATTTCTATTTATGTCAGTTCAGGCGCTGAAACAATAAGCTGTTTTTTGTCAAGTAGCAGCTAATTTCATAATCCATTAATTGTTTAAGTAATTTTTCAAACAAACAAATTCCAGCTGCTCAGTTGCGACGAGCTTTCCTTTGCCGTATGTAATAATAAACTGTGCATATTTAGATTTTGGTGTAATTGTCAGATAAAACAAAACAATCTGATGAAATCACCCCGGGCTTTAGGAAATCATTTATAATCATTACAAGTTGCTGGAATTAACAAGCAACATCTTGTGTCCCATTTTAGGCAAAATCACAAACATGTTCTGAAGTGGAAACGGCGCACAAAAGTGATTATTACCTTTTTGTAGAAATACCTTATCTTGATAGTAGATAGCTTTAGTGAGGGTTCATCTCTGGGCTGTCACACAGTGTGTCCAGGACTGACAGGTTCACTGTAAACATGTATCTGTTCGTGCAGGTCATTTATGTAGATGGGACTCTGTTCAATCATGGTGGCTTTTATAGCTCACCATGCTATTTACCATTTAGTTTGCATCAGTTTATCTAGAAATGCAAAAGGATTTTTCATGGCAATGGGAAAATATTTCACAGGAACAGGTTAAATGTTAAGTCAATCAGCCATTGAGTGCAGCCAAAAAATTTTTTTTTTTACTTGAAGAAATGTGTTATTTTGTTGACGATGGATCTGATTCTTGATTCTTTTGCATTTAGTGTACAGTAGTTATTTATTATTTGACCTCTTGCCTTGGCTGAGGCTGAAAACTTCGACTCTGGCACTGGAAGCATGGCAGTGTGGCTAAGCTACTGAATACACATGTCCACAGCTGTCCAAACAGTCGCTGCCACTGCCTTGGTTGGCCTCGGAGCATCGTGTCCGCTGTCCTTCCATACATGAAACTCAGGCCAGATCCTGACCGGCAGCCTGGCTCTCGCCCGGTTTCCCTCACCGCAAGTCATAAACATTTACTGAGGTCTCTTTTGTCCTCTTCTGTCCTCCTTCCCCCTGCTCAGAGACGTGTTGGTCCTGGACCATTTGACCTGAACCTGGACAGATGCCTTTCATATATGCCGTTCCAAGCTGAAACTGACCACACCGCCTCGGGGCATTTGGCCATGATTTTACACATTCACTCCAAACAAACTTTTATAAAATGTTTTAGTTACTTGTTTAGAGTTCTCATATTTTATTTATTCAATTAGCTGTTGCAATTACATTATGTGCAAGATTTGTTGAAATGGAACAGTTCTTTCAAGAGACTTAATAAACTAAAATGTAATTTTTTGTCTCTGTTTTTCTTATAGTTAACACTACATTAAAATGGTCCTCCTAAGAAATTATGAGGAATTTTCACACCCATAAAGTAAAATTGTGACATGCAGTTGAAAGCTCTGACAAAGCTAGCAAGTGGACCTTGTGTTAAAATGATTTTTTTCTGATATAAGTGGTTTTATTTCATCATAAGATCTGAAGATCTCAGTTCAAAGCCTTCTCCACACTGCCATAAATAAAATTTGAAATCTGAAGTGTAAAAAATACCAGAATCTCAAATATGTGTGTATTGTAACTGCTTTTAATGCGAACCCGTGAGGTTCCTGAAATCCCCAAACTCCAAGCAGTAGCTACAGCCCCTCATTGCCTGCTATTTTATTATGATGAAAATGAATGAATTACACATACTCTCCCAAACTATGAGAATTAAAAGGGCAGTTCTGAATTTTTGATATATGGGGGCTGTAATTTACCTGCTGCTGGGGGTATTCAAGCTTGGAGATCTGGTCAGTATCAAAACATATTAATTATTCCATTGAGGATTAGCACATTATGTTCTAGCATTGAAGTTAATCACCGAATCATTTCTGTTATTCAAATATATCTCAAAAAAGAAAAAAAAAATCTAAAGTTAGACTGTCTTCCAAATATTAGACTGATTGATTTATTGATTTACACAAAGTAATGACATGAGGCTGCCTTTTCAGGTTCTTTCCTCTTCTCTTCTCTATCGTCTTTGATCCACTATTCATTAGTTATTGCTGGAAAATTATCACCAGTATCACACTAATATTCACAAATATGCTTTGATCTGTCAAAAGCACAATTGCTCTAAATGCACCGTTCAACTGCAGACAGATGACAGTACAGGAAGAGCTGGGTTTTTTTTTTTGTTTTTTTTTTAATCCGCTGTTCAATCAATTATTCAAAGAGGTTCTTTGCCTCTTTGTTCAGTTGAGGGCAGCTTTAGAATTGCATCATGCTTCTTAAGCTTTAGAAACAATCTTTGCAAACTATAACAATGTGCAAAGGAAGGTCATACATGCTCTGAAGGCTGATGGGTAATTACTCCCAAATGAGTTTGGGAAGAGAGGCAAGGCCTATGTGCCCTCCTGGGTTTCCCCCTAATTTCAGTATCTTTGAAAACACATGTTCATATAGTTTCTTAACTTTAAGATATCCAAGCATTCAGTAAGAAAAAAATCTCCTGTATTTTCCTCAATTTTTCTCTCAGGGTTTCTCACTGAAATGAATACAGAGCATCCTATCAACAGTATCTCAGTCTCACAGACAGGGAATACGTCCCGACTGTGACAGATGACCACG